AATCATTACAATCAAAGTAGGGGAGTTGGTCATATAGGAAGCCCATGCTGGAAAGAGGAGGCGGTGAAATCATTAAACTAATTAAAACAGCTTAGAACAAAAACCAAGTCAGAAGCCAAATTCATTTCTGGCGTAACCCACTGCCTCTGCCCATCTACCAGCCACACAAAAGGTTACTTACTGTATGAAACACACAGTGGATTCATTATCATGCCCTTCCATCCAATTAAACGTTAATAGCAATCACTGGACCACAGCATGGCTCTCTCGGGTGTTAGCTAATGAAGTAGGTTAACGACTGATCAGCCACCGGGGAACAGGGAAAATAACGTGTGACTAATGTGTCAGCCAAAATACGTCAGCCAGAGTTAAAAATATTTAACTATTAAGGAGTAACTGTCAAGGACATAGGAAAAATTCTTTAATGAAAGAGATCATATTTCTCTACTGACAGCAAACAGGAATCTAATTTCCTTCCTTAACATACTCAACAAATGATCTGAGAAACTAAATTAGTAATGTTTAGCCTGTTGCTGAGAAGCAGGATTTTTTTTACCATTAATGTTTTTGCATAAAGTTTCTTGTTTCTTAAAAAAAAAAGTCACGTAATTTCCCAAAAAAACAGATTAATTAATTAATCCACTAATTAAGTAAAACTGAGTTTTATAGAACTACATGAAAGACACTGATTATAAGACAGGGACATGGGAGCATGTGTTGCTATAATTAAACTGGTCAAAGCAAGTGAATATAAACTGAATGGAACACAGAATGGACAAAATAGGACTTAAAGTCTTTTCCATATCTAAATGACCTGTTGAGATGGTTTTGCCACACAAGATAAAATGCAAATCTAACTGAAATATTGACGAGGCTTTGTCAGCTGTAAATCTAGTCAGTTTCAAATACTTTGTTAAAGGTATATCTGTGCACTACACCTGCTCCCAAACCCCCATGCCAATTTTTTTTATAATTTTATAGCCATTTTGGTCTATTATTAGGACTGTTCTTCTCTCACTTGTTGCTGTGCACAAAAACCCAGCACAAACAACAGGGAAACTGACTTTGGGGAAGCCATCTGTACCAAGTGCTGTCAAATACACAAAGTAAACAAATGGGAAAAAATAAATATTTTTCCCCACAGTCTCTTCCAGTCATAGTCATTTTAAGGATTATTTGCAACAATTGTAGGTAAAACATTGTCAAACACAAGCATAACCTTTAAAGCTTTATAAAGAATCTGGAGGAAGAGGCAAACAAGATGTTAAATTTTAATTCCCAGAGTGACCTAGATCGGGAGGCTTTGAAAAATCAGTAAAGACACTGTGTTATGAGATCCAGAATGGTTAGATATATAAGCAGGAAAAAACAAAATGAGTGTAATCTGTATAAGTGCAACTAGTACATGTGGAGAAAAAGTAATCCCTAATAAAGATATTCAATGGCAGTGAAAATCAATGGGGGAGAGATACTTGGAAAGCAGTAAAAATCAAAACAGACCTTCAGTGATTATGCAGCCCTAAATCATAGTATTGTGTGTGTGCATCCTTCCTACTGAGCAAATATCTTTGGGATTCTTTGCTGAAATCTGTTCCTGGCCTATGACAACAGAAGATTGGAAGAGCTAGATTAAAAGAGTTCAATGGAGATTGGTAGACACTAGTTTTGGCATTAACACAACATATCAGGGATATGGGTAGGGGTAGGGTCCAGAGTGACCTAGACAAATTAGAGGATTGGGCCAAAAGAGATCTGATGAGGTTCAACAAGGACAAGTGCTGAGTCCCGCACTTAGGAAGGAAGAATCCCATGCACTGCTACAGGCTGGGGACCGACTGGCTAAGCAGCAGTTCTGCAGAAAAGGATCTAGGGATTACAGTGGACGAGAAGCTGGATATAAGTCAGCAGTGTGCCCTTGTTGCCAAGAAGGCCAACCGCATATTGGGCTGTATTAGTAGGAGCATTGCCAGCAGAACAAGGGAAGTGATTATTCCCCTCTATTCGGCACTGGTGAGGCCACACCTGGAGTATTGCATCCAATTTTGGCCGCCCCACTACAGAAGGCATGTGGACAAATTGGAGAGAGTCCAGCGGAGGGCAACAAAAATGATTAGGGGCTGGAGCACATGACTTGTGAGGAGAGGCTGAGGGAACCGAGGTTATTTAGTCTGCAGCAGAGAAGAGTGAGTGGGGATTTGACAGCAGCCTTCAACTACCTGAAGGGGGGTTCCAAAGAGGATGGAACTAGGCTGTTCTCAGTGGTGGCAGATGACAGAACAAGAAGCAATGGTCTCAAGTTACAGTGAGGGAGGTCTAGGTTGGATATTAGGAAACACTATTTCACTAGGAGGTGGTGAAGCACTGGAATGGGTTACCTAAGGAGGTGGTGGAATCTCCATCCTTAGAGGTTTTTAAGGCCCGGCTTGACAAAGCTCTGGCTGGGATGATTAGTTGGCGTTGGTCCTGCTTTGAGCAGGGGATTGGATTAGATGACCTCCTGAGGTCTCTTCCAACCCTAATATTCTATGATTCTATCACAGATGTAACATGCCCAGATCACTGCCTGATGAAGCACATTAGACAGAAATATGGAACAATGTTTCATAGTGGGCTATTTCAAACCACTGTTCAGTACATTTGTGCTACTTGTTGCCTACTACATGTGGGTGGCTTTCAGGAACAGAGATTACATTAAAACTCTAATCTACATTAAAATAGAGTTCCTTTTTAAACAGCTGAATTGCAAAACATTATTAACTTGAAAGATAAACATTTGCCCAGAAGAGCAAAACGTGTAACAAATATAACTGGATAGAAGTGATACAAACAAGAATTGTAAACAGTTATAAACTCGTGAAGTACTACTTTAGGAGCCCACATGAAATTATTTCTGATGATCTCAGTTCCAAGTGGACATCATAAAAACACATCACAATTGTTCCCCTTGTTGGCAGCCTCAGCAGAGAGGCCAAGAACTGCCTGGGATGTACAAAATGAACAACCCTCCAGATCAGAGCTGAAGCACTTTGGGGAGGTGACATGGGGGAAGCCAGCACTGCCACTGTTGTACTTGTACTGAGGGTTGCATGGGGGGCACAATTCAGCTATCGAGTCAGAAAAAGTAAAATCATTCAAGATGTTTATGTTAAAGACTTAAAAACAAAAATTGTGCATGTTAAAAAAAAGATCCTGGTCCTGCACTTATGTGCAGCTCATTTCAGGATTCGGGATAGGCCTAAATTCATTCCTGGTGTAATGACACTGAAGTCTATAGAGTTGCACTAAGGATGAAATTGTATTTGTCTTTACTACTGCACTGAGCTAGAAGGAATAAAGCATGACTGACTACCTCTTTTTATAAACAGGTAAAAGAGAAATTCATTGCAAGACACAAGATCTATTTTCTTCAAGACTGTTACAAATACTCACAGCACTTTTTTTCTGAGACTCGCATATTTGAAGTTTTGTTTTCCTGGTTGCTGTTGTTGTTGTTCTGCTCTGGGACTAATGCTGTATGTCCTGACATTGCTGCTAATCTCACACTTGGTCAGTGTTGGACCTTCAGGCTCTTGGAAAAGAAAAGAAGAACCAAGAAACAAATCCTTGTGAAATCCAGTAGACAGAATAAAAGAAGATGCATAGCAACTTATCAGTGCTGTTCCTGGTGGGAGGGAAAGGAAGCCATATAACGATCTCAAAGCTGTAGTCCAAGGTCAACAGCAGGTCGTAACATACATAGGTCGTAACATATGTAGTTGGCACGAGATAACGCAAAGCACAGAAAAATGAAGCAGAGGGGGAAAAAATATATCCCTCACCTGGGACATTAATGAACCATCTCAGCCAGGGAACAGAAGGATTAGAGGGGAGTGTACCTACTTTTGCCCCTTGCCTTTTGTAAGTACTACAAATATAAAGGAACAGCCTTCCCCCAACCTCCCAAAGTCATTATGCAGCTGCTAGGCACTTTTTTAGGGGCCAGCCCCCGAGATGCCAAGGCTGGGAAATAATCCCAGCTGGTTTGACAGCATCCTCTGAGCAGGGGACTGGGCAGGTCTCTCAGCCAGGCACTCCCAAGCCCCGCTCCAGGATTTCTGCCATTCATCGGGTACCGACCTGCAGAGCCCCCCGGACACACCCGCTCGCAGCGCGGGGGAACTGAGGCGCAGAACCCCCCAGCCTTCTTCAGCACGAGCCCGGGACCGGGCTCCGCGCTGAGACGTACCACGAAGCGGTGGGAAGCCAGGCGGCTGCTGCACCTGCCAAGCGCTGCGAGCCTCAGACACCGGCCAGGAGCCTCCCGCAGCAGCCAGGACTTGGATGAACCGGCCGGCTCACGCGATCCCGCACTGCAGCAAGGTAGCCGGCGCGGAGCCCGCCCCCCCCCGCGCGCTGCCCAGGTGACACCAGCTGCCGGCTGAGGCTGGCGGACCGGCAACGAGATGCAAAGGGTATGCTAATGTGGCGCCCACGTGACTAAGACGCAACCCTGCAGCTGTGCTGGGGAAGGATGCGCAGGGGGAGACCGGTGGAACCAGAGGAGCGGGACCAAGCTAGGCAAATGAACGGGAACAATTAGACTAGGTCTAGATATGCAAACGGGGCGTACACGCGCCCATAGGCACAGGGTGCAAATGAGATGCAAATACGTTCACAGATAAATGGCATGTAAATGAGCTCAGACACTCAATTAGTTTCCCCTGAACTGCGAAGGAGTAAAAGAACAGGTACGTCTGATACGCAAATAAGATGCAAGTATGCAAATGAGGTTATACTAGAGCCCCGCCCCCACCAGCTCCTATTCCACCTTGACCGCGGGGAGGCAGAACGCGGTGACGTGTCCCCCCTCGACTGTGAGATTCTCCGTGTGCGTGTGACGGCATCAAGGGCGTCCCGAGCGTTCCGCCCCCAGCCGCGGATTGGCTGCGCCGCGGGCACGCGGGGAGAGACGCGGGTTGCGGCGTGGGGCCCGCAGCCAATAGCGAGGCACGGCGGAAGCGTCGCGAGACTTGGCGGGGCAGCTGCCCCGGCCATTTTGCTGGGGCAGCAGAGTTGGGAGCCCCGGCCCCGGAGGAGGATGCTGCGGCTGCGTTGCAAGGCTCGGAGCGGCTCCCACCCGCTGCCCGGCCTCACGGCGCATTCCCGCCTCCGGGAGCTGCAGGCCGCCCTGGCCGCCCTCACCGGGGTGCCGGCCCCGGCCCAGCGCCTCCTGCTCGGCTTCCCCCCGCGGAGCCTTGATCTGAGCGACGGGGAGCGGCGGCTGGGGGAGCTCGGCATCCACTCAGGTGAGGAGCGTGGGGACACCGCGCCCCCCCTCCCTGGCGGGCGGGGCCGGGGGGCTGCCTCTGCCTGGGCTCAGGCTGCCTCCATCGTGGGCAGGGCAGCTCCCCTGGACAGCGCCTGCTGGGGGCTCAGGCTGCGGGTCAGCGTCTCCTCACCCTAGGGCGCGGGCAGGGGCGTAGTTCCTAAAGGCTGAATCCGGCCGGGAGGAGGGGACAATCCAAGTGCAGGGAGGTTGCTGTCTCCTCCTCCCCCCCCCCCCCCCCACACACACACAGACACACACACCGGTCAAGGCTGGTCTAAGAAGGAGATACTTGCTCTCGAGTGCTCAAGATGCAGCGAGAGCAGACCCAGGATAAAACGAGTGGAGGAGAGAGGATCACGCATAGAAGCATGTATTTTTTGACCCTTTTGAATGGATGTTGTAGAGACTGCTGGGTTAAAAGTATGTTCAGGTTGCCCCTATAAACTCATCTGATCATGCTCATGGCTCACTGAAATCGTTATGGATTACTATGCATTTCCTTTCTATAGCTTATTTCATTCTCTCTGCAAATATTAAAGCCTTATGAGCCTGCTTCAACACAGTGTAAAGAACATATAGCAAAAGCTGTAGTCCTCTCTGGCGTAAAAGGCACTAGGTGTTTAAAGACACAAGATTAATATTCTGCAGCATATAGTGTTGTTCCACCGCGCAAGACAGGAAGAGCAAAAGAATGCCATACCTAATTGAAACTGCATTTTAGCAGACTATAATTACCTTACCTGAAACTTGGTTGGGACATTGGGGCTACCACCCTTTAATAAAAAATTGATTGCAAAATAGTGCTGTCAGTGACTGTCCAACCTGTTTATCAGCTTCTGTAAATGTAAACATCTTCTATTTCACTGCCTCTAAAGTGGGTTTTCAAGAGACTCTAAAATGAAAGGGATTGAGTATCACTCATGTTCCAGATTTGGACAATAAACTTGAAAACATTAACCAATGTGCTAATTTGGAGACTTCAGTACAAACGCTGTGTCTTTATGTGAACCAGCAATATACAGTGAGAGCCCAAAGCTACAATCTGCTGCAGCTTCTTATGTAATTTATTTAAGTGGTAATGCTTTCTATTGTGCTGATCTGATTCTGTCAGAACTGAGGCATGATATACTGGAGGCTTTAAATGGTTTGCTTCTCTGTATTTGTAGTTTTTCCCTTTCTGTTCGTAATGCACTTTGGTGACGCAACACTGCATTTCATCTACCTAATCCTCATAATTCTTGTTTTTTTATTTTTGACAGGTGATACTCTAATTGTTGAAGAGGACACAACCAAACCCAAGAATGAGTCACCTGTAATTGCAAAAAGGAGTGTCCCTACTTTGGTCAGGGAAGCACTGCCTGTACTTGCAAGGAGGGTTGTTCCAGCAGATAACTCCTGTCTCTTCACAAGCATATTCTATGTGGTAGAGGGAGGCATTTATGATCCAGCATGTGCTCCGGAGATGCGCAGTCTTATAGCCCAGATAGTGGCAAGTGATCCAGAGTCCTATTGTGAGGCAGTACTAGGGAAAACCAATGAAGAGTATTGTGAGTGGATCAGAAGAGAAGATACATGGGGAGGAGCCATTGAAGTATCCATTCTGTCTAAGTTTTATCAGTGTGAAATCTGTGTAGTGGATACACAGACAGTCAGAATTGACCGTTTTGGGGAAGATGCTGGCTATGCTAGGCGGGTCCTTCTGATTTATGATGGGATTCATTATGATCCACTTGAACGTAAAATCCCTGACTCAGACGTCCCTCCCCTGACCATTTTCTCAACAAATGATGATGTTGTTCTTGCACAAGCATTGGAATTGGCAGATGAAGCCAGACGAAAGAGGCAGTTTACTGATGTAAATCGCTTTACACTAAGATGCATGGTGTGCCAGAAGGGGTTAACTGGACAAGTGGAAGCCAGAGAACATGCCAAGGAGACTGGGCATGCGAACTTTGGAGAAGTGTGACATCTACATGAGGATGGTTGCATCTACTACCTCACTGCCCCAGAATAAGATTCTGGGTTTTCAGATAAGCTATATGTAAGCATACAAAACTCCCTTCGAAGCTTGAAAAGCCCTCTTAACTTAATGAATGAGATGCACAGGTTTGTTATGGATAGTGTGCAGGTTTACAGATAGGTATGCGGTAGTGACACACTTTTCCCAACTAGTTTGAAATAGGTAACTTCTTGCATGCTGATTTTAAAGTAACTGGCAGCTGTTTGTTGTATGTTAGCAGCTAAAAGTCCTGACTCCTGAAGAACCTTATTTTCTGATGGAGAAGCTGCTGTGTGACATGGCTGGACATGCATACAATACTGTACCTAGAGTTACATAGACTTAGAGTAACAGTTGCAATCTAAACTCTGAATTATTGGGTTTAGTTATAATCTTTCAGTACTTGTAAACTGGTCTTAGTTTGGCATATTCATGTGCCTATCAGCATTTTGTACGAAGAGTTACATAGTAACTCTTCTATATTCAAGCGATTTTTGCAACAGAGATGCCTATAGTGCATACTTCATATAGAAATGGTAACACCAAAGTTGCCCTGTATTAGGTCACAATGAACAAAAGTAGAATGTACAGTCTGATAGTGGCTGTAGTGAGAGCCTTTTTAAAATTAATGAGTAGATAGTTAAGTACCCAATAAATTTAATATTTTTCCATAGATACTACTTGAAATGTAGTTTAGTTGCTTGAAAATTAACTGTCAACCCCTCTGTTTACACTACATCAGGATGTTGGCATGTTTCTTGAAATACTTGGATCCTTGGTAACAATATGATCTCAATTCCAGCAAGAAGGAATTACAGTAATTGAGATTCAAAATTACAGATTGTATTGGTTAAACATTAAAATACAGTTTTGCTTAAATGTGGCTGTTCTTGTGGCCACTGAAAGTGTTAGTAAGTTGTACTGGGCTCCAGATATTGTGTTAGCACTTTTTAATCTTTGGTTCTCACTCTTTTACAGTTCAAAGGCTTGTTCTTTTTTCAGAAGGTCAGAACATTTATCCAAAAGGGAAAAACTTGAAGTTTTTGTTTGCATTCTGCCAGGTGCCCTTTAACTTGCTTGATTTCTCCCCAGTGATTAAGTAGCAAGACCTCTATTCTAATAGGGAATGGAGCAGTTTTTCACAACAAAATAAGCTAGGTAAAATGCTCTACTTCTGAAATGACAAAAGCAGGGATGTCAAAACTGGTACAATAAAGAAATCTCACTTTATGGGGGAGTGTGAGGCTTAATGTAGAGTGCTTTGATATCATCTAAATTAAAGATGCTGTAAATGTGCTTATTACTGAAATTATTTCTTAGAATGCCTCAACACGTGTGTGTTAAGGCATTTAAACTCTTTTAGCCATGTTTTGTTACTTTTGTTCTGGGTCTGAAATGCCTTCTGAATGCTTGTGCAAATGGGGAACAAAGATACACATCTTCATAATAAAGTAGCAATGTGTCAGCTTCAGGAATGGAAACTTCTAGTTATTCAAAGACAAACAATTTACTACGGCTATCCTGACTAAAGCCCTGATTCAGGAAAGCCCCCTTAAGCATCTACTTAAGTAATTTCCTGAATTGGCGCCCTCATGCATATCTAAGTATAGGGATAGTTCTATGGACCCTCCTTGGAACGTGCCTGTAGTTACATGTGCATAGGGTGTCTTGCTGGATTAAGGTCTATACAAAGTAGTATATAAATAGTATAATCACCAAGAGTATAACGGACCAGAATTCTTTTGCTCAGTATTAAGTTACATTGCACTCATGAGTTTGTTACAGAAATCAAGTTAGCTGCCAGTGTTAAACCGACTTAGGTTTTAGACTTGTTTTAAACTGTTTTTAATGCTCGACTAGAAGCAGATGCTTAAAGCTAGGAACATGAAAGATACTGTATTATAAACACTTGAGATGGAACTTGGGTTACTGACTAGACCAAGGGACTATCAGACTCCTACATTATATTCCCAACTTTGTCAGTGAATGGGTGACACACCCTGGACAAATTGCTACACCTCAGTCTGTATATTCATCTATAAAATGGCTATAATATCTACCTCACAGAGGTATTGTGAGGCTAATGGATTGATGTTTGTAAAGTGCTTGGATGAAAGGTGCTACATAAGTGCAAAGTACTATTATTTTGTGCCATGTTAGCAAACTTATTCTTGGCTTTTGGGAACATAACTTCTGTACAGCAAAATCCTTTAGTTTTGTGCTCTGGAATCTGCAATATAAGACTTGATAAATCTTTGCATATGTTGTAACCAAGTCCAAACTATCTGCAGTGGATCTCTAAAGTGGATAGCATGGTCACAAGTGTTTATTTGCCCTGGTCTAATACTAAAAAAAAGAGTCTGCTTTATTTAATTGAATCTTCTATATTGTATTTAATGCAAGTGTCATTCTCATTGCTTGAATGTGTTTTTAGTTACCTAGAAAATCAGATGATTTGGATCTGAAATCACAACTGAACTGCTGTAATACTTGTTCAGATTTTTTTAGTGTAACAATTAACTTTGAAAAATTAAGACATTGAATTTTAACAGAGCAGAGTAATTTACAGAATCTAAGAGATGGAAAGTGGTCAGTTACCTTCCTCCCAAGCAGAAAATCTAAATTTTCTGGGGGGATAAATTGTAAAATATATTTGAAAAAGCAACTTCACATGTTTTCTCTTATGGTAAGACCTTATAAATTTGTGCTAGCTTCATTATGTCTGATTACTACTAGCATGTGTGTGCCCTTTTTTTACAGTACAGACATGGAAATCTCTCGTATTTCCTTATCTCAGGGGAATTAACCTCTGACTTTTTCAACACCTCTGTTAATTGACTTGCACTGAAGCATTACTACTTGAGGCTCCAAGATACTAATTGTGGACACTTCGTAAAATTAGTTTTTCAAGACCGCATGGAACTTAAGCTCAGGTAACTGGCATTTGGGGATGAAGCTTGTCATCTGTCCATAATGACCCCAAAAATACCATCAGATATGGATGGATGTCTTTACAACTCCCTCCAAATATTATTAGCACTAATTTCCATGCTGAAAGTTTCAGCTGAGACTAGAGATTGAATGGGCCATGGAAACTGAACTTCCTACCCCTAGAGGTAGATTCCTTGGTAAAGGTTGAAGCACACTACTATCCTTTTGAAGCTGGCCTGTGCGGGACTAGTTCTGATTAATTATAGGACTTCAGCTTCCATGTTGCCAATCTGGCCCTTTTCACCAGCACTCAATTCCTTTTCCTGAAGAAGGGAGGAAAGAAGCATAACAAACTAATCATGTGGCCTTTCACAAACATTTTATATTGCATGAAGAAATGCACATCTCATGATTTTCACAGCACTTTAAAAGCTTGTCAAAGTTTACATGTTTAGCAGTGTTTTGCAGGGACCTAGCCTGATGTAAGTTTGGTGTTGCAGTAAAATAACAGTGAACAATTTCTAAAAATCTTGTTACTAAAAACATACCCATGTATTCCAGTGACATAACATCCTGTTGTTGTTTTATCATTAGCACAGGTTATTTTAAGTATTTCTTAAAACATGTGCCCTATATTGCAAAACATTATTGCATCAATAAAAGTGTGATTTATGCATATTTTTGATGTGTTCATTTGTGGCTCGGGTCTTGGGGTTTAGTTACAGTGGTGGAAATACCTGATTAAGTGAATGGAGCATCAATTAGTCTTCACAAGCCACTAACAAACACTTGGCCCCTTGCAGTTAACTAGTTCCAAAGGCAAATAAGCGCTTGTAATATAGCTTTTCTGTGGAATTCATGGGCAAGTAGAGTTTTGAGACAAAGTCAAACACTACAGTATTCGTGTAAGGTCTATTAAAGTGTACATGACATTCCACAATGTAAAATTGTTTTTTCAGTGTACAAAAAAGAAATCACTTCTAAAGGGAAGTGCAATTAATATGGTCTCAACCAGGGGTTTGGAAGTGCAATTAGATCAACTTTTGAAACTTGGACTCTGTAAATGGAAAATGTGTCTAATTCACTATGGAGCAATGTAGCTTAGTTGTTAACACATGGTTAACGGGTGGGTTTTTTTTTTTTGTGGCACTTCAGTTCAAAAAGCACTTTGTGTAAAGTCACTGCATTCAGTCTCAATCTTTAGTGTTTCAGTTAGACTACTAGCTTTGATACTTCAAAAGGAGTTTGTTTTGGACAATAAGAATCAAAAGACATGCACAAGAGAAGACTCTTCCAGAAGCCTGAAAAACTGATGCCTACAGTGCAAAAACCATGGGGTAAGATCATACCTTCAGTAATGGCAATGCAAGTTTTATCTTTGACTTTAATGGAGGTGTGATTTCACCTACGGTTGCTATATTGTGCCATGATATGTCTGTACAGTATGCTTCAGACTAAGAGCATGAAGCGCTACACAACACCGGAGCTTCAGTAATATACAAAGGACAAAGTTGTATAATTGTTTCCCACTCTTGGGCCAGGTCTACACTAACCCCCTAATTCGAACTAAGGTACGGAACTTCAGCTACGTGAATAACGTAGCTGAAGTTCGAAGTACCTTAGTTCGAACTTATCTTGGTCCACACTCGGCAGGCAGGCTCCCCCGTCGACTCCGCGGTACTCCTCTCGCCGAGCTGGAGTACCGCAGTCGACGGCGAGCACTTCCGGGTTCGACTTATCGCGTCCAGACTAGACGCGATAAGTCGAACCCAGAAGTTCGATCGCTCGCCGCCGAACTACCGGGTAAGTGTAGCCAAGGCCTTGATTGCAAGAGATTTAATATACAGTAGTTAAATTAAAAAATAGAATACATTTTACCAGCCCGATTAGACAATGTAACCTTTAGCAAATAAATTCAGAATACTGTAGAAAGGATATTGAACTGAAAGGAGCATAGGATGTAGTTAAGGTAGAAGGGCACGGTTGTCAGAAGCTGAAGAGAGGAATCCTGTCCAAGATGGCAAGAGACAGAAGAGGATTTTGGTGTCTCAAAATATAGTGTTAGTAACTTGAGTCTATCTTCTATGCACACAAGTTCACATCAGAATCCTGTCATTACTTGTGGCATATTGTTTGTCCAATCATATTTTCCAGCATTCTCAGTATGTCATTGCTGTGAGGACTATACAGAAGACAACTTGTAAGTCTTCTGAAGCCATTTGAATTTGCTATTTTGAACATTGCATTATTCTACTTTTAAATCTGTATGATTAAGTGATGCTATATTCACTTTGCTTATAGTGGGGGAGGGGGGGAGTGAACACTGTCAGGTAAACCATTTGTCTTCTGCATAAGATTTTCACTGGTTGCTTGGTGTACAAAAACCCATGTAATGGTTATACAGTAGTCCAGGGGTCAGCAACCTTTCAGAAGTGGTGGGCCGAGTCTTCATTTATTCACTCTGATTTAAGGTTTTGCGTGCCAGTAATACATTTTAACGTTGTTAGAAGATCTTTGTATAAGTCTATAATATATAACTAAACTATTGTATGTAAAGTAAATAAGGTTTTTTAAATGTTTAAGAAGCTTCTTTTAAAATTAAATTAAAATGCAGAGCCCCCCGGACCGGTGGCAAGGACCCGGGCAGTGAGAGTGCCACTGAAAATTGGCTCGTGTGCCACAGGTTACCTACCCCTGCAGTAGTCAATTCAATTTGAGGTCTATTTTCTAAAGGATCAGCATACTTGGTCAATCTCATGCACTCGATGTATTTCTCATTTCTTAACACCAGAGGGGGATGTTAATGCATCTTCCCATTCAATTTGTAAATTTTATGCATATGAATGATGAATAGTCTTTGTGCTCAGTCTATCTGAAGTAATACATTTGCAAGATTGTTTACCCCAACTGAGTACTGTAGTTTGACAAGTAAAAATCCCTCTCTTCCCCCAAATCAGGATCTGAATGACTAGATACTGGGCTTAATCGGATTAGTTTTCATGGCCATTTTGCAAGGCTAAACAAGTACTAGAAGGTATTAAATTTTGCACTGCAACTATATTAGGGCACCTATTCTCCCTTTGGTGCACAGGTGGTTTAACACTAACGAGCTTCCAAAAACTACATACGTTCTTTTATGGCCTTGTCTTCAGTAGGAGAAAAGGTATGTTTAACCCATGTTAACTAACCACATATTACAAAGCTTGTGAAGACAAGCCAGTTGCAGTTTTAACTCATTTTAACTGGCTTTGGTAAACCCTATAGGGGAATCTGTCGGTTGCCAGGGAGTCCCTATTTTCCTTGCAGCAGAAATCAGTTAAGTGCTGTCTTTCATGTGTTGAAAGTGATATTTGCACTAAAACCCATTCTCTAGTCAAGAGTCTGTTACTATATTTCTCTAGTTGACTGCCTACATTGTCCTGAAAAACACAGTACAGAGACAAAATGGGATGTCTGTGGGGGAGTGATATACTAGTGATGGTCAAAACATTTCCTCATGCATTACTATATTTTTGCAGCAAGGATTGTATTGCCCACCAAAATTAAGTCTCCATTTTGATTGAACATCCTAGGCAGTTAGCTGCCCCACAAAACATTGGGAACTAGCTGCTATTTCTAGTATAACTGTCATTCCGTGACTTAAATGTTTGTTTTCACAAATGTCCTTTTATTTTTGTACAATATATTAATAAAAGCTGCATTGCCCTTTAACAGGACATAACTTGTTTTGCTTGCATTTTAGGCGTAGCTACAATTTTCAATCTTTCATACTTTCGGTTTTAAATGAGATTGGGCCTCTAATTTTCACTATTACCTTCCTGTTCTGGCTTGGACCAAGTGAAGTAAAACTACAATGGAGAGGTGGGGAAATCACTGCTTTTCTACTCTGATTCAAAGCACCATGAAGCTATTTGTAATGAATGACTGGCAACCAAGCAGTTAATAAACTTCCCAGCCTGACAATGGCTGCAGTGTCCTTTGTACTATGGGAAAATAGGAGGGGGAGAGATTTTAACTGTATCTCTAATACTCACTACTTCTGACCTTAGGCAAATCACTTAAGTTCTCTGCCTTATTTTATTCCTTCTGTAAAATGGGGGAACTTAACTATCTCACAGCTGGGTTAAGGTTCAATATTGTAATGTATTTTGAAAATGTGAAGTGCTATATAAATGCTATCTGTTAATTAGCATTTTGCCTAATTAATTAGTTTGTTGGTAATGAACTGTACACAGCTGACAGGAGAAAAGTACCTGACCATCCTACAGAGTCAAGTGGAAATAGCACTACATGTAGGTGACTAACCCAGCCTGGTAAGATACCTTATCGACAAGCGCATTTTAATCTCACCCCACCCCCCGCAACACACCCTCAGTGTCGATACCGAATTATTTGTATTTATCAATAGGGTGAGGTACATTGAACTTGTTAACACGGCCAAAGTCCTTTTGTGTTGGGAGTGGGGTGTTTGCCTATAGCATTGTGTGTGCTTCATACTGTATATATAAAATCACACACCGCTTTAGATTGCCCCTGCCTATATTGTTGGAGGAAGGACATGAAAATAACTCAGGTTCTCACTAATTCATTATCTCATGGATAGGGTCTTTAGTTTCTGTGCAGTCAAATGGGGTCTTTTTATAGGCCTACTCCTTAGGGGTGCTACGCATTTGATACTTTAATGGGAGGTAAGAGTGCTAGGCCCCTGGCAGATCAGGACTTAAATTAATAGATGTTATGACATGTTTAATTCACACAGAGGGTATCAGGCTGCGAGGGGTTCTATTTTCAAGTAGTTAGAACTATTTTGAGTCCTCCTGCTAAATCAGTAGAGGTGCTGATAGCATAACACATGCCTCGGAATATCTACAAAACAAAATTCTATTTGCACTTGCAGTGGGTAAATACACTTTTCTGATTACTTAACTTGCCTGCATAGAGAGGAAAAATAGGCAAGAACCAGCCAGAAGCTTGTCATAGAGCAAATCACCTAAACGGAATGTCCTTTAACTTGTTGAGCCACATATTTTTGACTATATTTTGGGAGTGCATATCAAGTGTTAAAATAGGTCATGTTTTTATTCAAAGGTGATTAATATAAAACAGATATTTATAGATTTAGTACGGTCAATGTTTGTGCCTCTTCCCTCAGAGGAACCTTTTTGTTAATTATTAAGCAAGGAGAATGTGCAGCTTGTGGAAAGCTGCTGTGTATTCTATTTTATTACCAAACCCACAGTAATGGGAAGAAAAATATCAAGTAAAAGGCAGAGGAATTGTAAGCAGTTTGTTTTTCCAAATGCTATTTTACTCACAAGAAAACTGCCAAACTGCCAAACTGCTGAAAGGTAAAATTATTTGAAAAAGTTTTCCAAAATTTAAGAATTTCCATAAACCACCTTCTAATTAAGGGGATTAGGAAGAAACTGTACCTAGGGACAGGTTATTCCATGACTGTCCACTACAGACTTTTTTGCATCTTCCTCTAAAAAAAAGTATCTGGTGCTGGCGGCTCTTGGAAACAGCAAACTGCACTAAATGAGCCACTTATCCAGTCTGGCAATCCTTATTTTCCTAACTAGAAAGTGACTATAAACAAGAGGGATGTAAATCTAATTCATTCATTATTGAAATGCAAATACATTTTTAAATATAATTTGCTATCTGATATTAGAACT